GCCAAAAACTTGATGTGTGTAAAATGCACTGGTTTTATTCCTACTATTAAATTATAAATTTAGCACACAAAGGTAGTGAACCTGTCTTTTAGTGGTATAGTTGGATAAGTAGAGTGTCGAACTCAGGGAACGGAAATTAAACTAATAACTAATTTTAACTAATAAGTAATAAAAAAGGTTTTTCTCTAGTTTTTCAAGACTAGAAACTTAAACACACCACCTAGCAAGTGATTAACTAAGCAACTAAAAACAAGTAAAAATTCACCAAATTTGATAAAGAGATTATGTTTAGGTCCAACCAATTCACTCCTATGGTTATTTGTATAATAGAATGATAAATTAATTGTATTGATTACCAACTATAGTGGTTAGATTCATGTTCACTATTAGTAACACTTAGTAAATTAATCAATTCAAGCAGTAGCCAATTGTTTAAACTAATTAACTTCCTAGTTCATTTATTTGGATTAAATAAGATTTGTAATTGGTTAATCAAGTTGGTGATTCAATTAACCTCTTGTTTGTTGGTTTCTCAAACAAGCTCACACATTAATTTACCCATTCTCTAATTAATCCTAGTTTCATGTTCATTATTTCTAGACATATGATGAAGTGTTCACATAAACATATGAGGTTAACAACTAAGAGATGTTCATGCAGCTTAATTGTCTTCCAATTAACAGAAAACGGTTATGGTTAATGCATAAGGTTCTTTAACAAACTTAATTTAATAAAATCACCAATAAACAATTAATAAAAGTAATAATCAAACCATAGGAGTAACTTGGTTTTTCCTAAATAGAAACAACACGAATTTAGCTCATGATTACAATGGAAACAAGCTCAAACACGAATTTAACTAAGCTAGTCATGATTCAATCCTAAGATTAAGTGGAAAATATAACCTAATTCGCCTTGAGTCTTCAAAAGATCAAAGGTTAGGGTTCTTCAGGTCTCCAAAGGGTTCTTCAATCACAAGAGTATCTCCCAAAAAGCCAGAAAAGTCTCCAATTCGAAATAAGATTCAATATTTATACTTATCACAAAACAGGGGCAACTCGGCGAGTAGGTCCCCAACTCGCCGAGTAGATGTGGAAAATCCGTGTACGGCAATGATTCTTGACTTTTCTTCGGGAACATTCTCAGGAACTCGCCGAGTAGCTCCAGATGTCTTCTTTTTCTTTATTCTTTGGTCTCTAATTGCTTCTCCTTATTCCTTTTTGCTTCCAAGCATGTCTTCTGGACTGAAAACACAATTTAGACATTATTAAACACCTTTTGTCCATATTATTCACATAATTAGCTAAAAATGAATAAAAATCTATACTAAACATATGGCTATTATGCACATATCAGTCCCTATCATCAATCCCAGAGTAAATTCTCTAGCATGCCACGCTTGTGAATAACTCATATTTATTTGTAGCAAAGCATTCATATCTCTAATTATATCTTTATGATTTGGGTGTATAAGCAATGAAGAACATGTATGCTCGTCATTAAACGTCTTAATTTCAAATATTTATGTTCTTTTAATGAGAGATGTGTATAAACGCCAATGATAGTTTTCTTGCATACAAACAACTTGGTATCGAGATTTTGAAGATTTTTCAACCTTTATCTGAAACTTTTCTCTAACAACTTTCAATTTAACAGCAAACGCTAGCTCTTTTTGGTGTTAAAGGTTTGATTGACAATAAATTTATCATTAGGACATAAACTGTGAAATGGTCCAGCTTCAAGAATAGGTTATGGACAATCAGGAATAGAAGGAATACAATACCATGGATTAAAAGCAGTTTTCTGTTTCGTGTACTCATCATCCGACCACCCTTCATTTGATTTTTCCTCACATCTTTATCATCAATTTCAGGAACTTCACCAAACTCGAACAAATTTTGACGTTGTAATTCAGTCATGCCCACTTTAGCTTCTTTATCAATATCTGATACAAAAGTATCATTATCAGATACAAACTTATCAGTAACTGAAACTTTTTTTTCATAACCCATTAGCACTTCATTTCCTCTTCCTCTTGAATGGTTTCTATCACATAGGATTTCTCTACAACCTTTATTAGTTTTCGCTGGATTAAAGTGGTTGTTAACCACTGCTTGTTCTTCAACTTCTTCACCTACCACCATTAAATACAAATGCACCGTCTTCTTTGATTTAGACATTACATGTCTCAATTGAAATACATCAGTTTCATCTCCAAGCTCCATGACATACCCTAACTCCGGGTGCTTAAAAGACAAACATATATGACTATTTAGCACACCTGCCTTACTTCTAACCATTTGTAATAACATTTCATGGTCGATGTTAGGAGAAATATTTAAACCATTGTTTTTCACATTATTTCTAATGTAAACCTCATCTCCATTAACTAACTGTCAAGACCCTCCCATACACATAATAATAAAACTCATTTTACAAATCATTCTCCACAAACACAATGAAAAAACAACTACTGGTAATTGAAACTCACAAACTCACAAAAACCCATTAAAATACGTTTATAACTTTTATAATTGATCTGCAGAGGTGTACACTGATCCACAGAGGTGTACACTGATCCGTAGAGGTGTACACTGATCCGCTAATAACAATTCTGTGGATTCCCAAACAGTTCTGTAGACAGATATTAAACATAAGGTCATTATTTTTAACCTTTTTTTTGTCAAATTTTTTACATAAAACATAATGTATTAGTATATTAAAAAAAATATTAATAAACTAAAACAAAAAATAGAAAAAACGAAAAAATAAAAATTAAAAAACTCAAGATCCGTAGAGGTGCTTCGGTTCCTCAGAGGCAAACGTATTACATAAAACATTTCATTATTTTTAACCTTTTTTGTAGAATTTTTTACATAATAATCACATAACGTATTAGTGTATTTAAAAAAATTATTATTAATAAACGAAAATAAACGCAAAAAAAACAAAAAAACGAAAAAAAAATTTAAAAAGCAAAGATTTCGCAGAGCTGTAGAGGATCCGTAGAGTCTTTAATGGATTCGTAGAGGGTGCTCTGCGAATCCTTTGGTTAGGGCTGACAATTCTCGATACGACCCACGATACGACCCGCAACACGCCACGAAATAAATTGGTTTGGGTTGAGTTTTTCAACTCGCCAACCCACCAACCCACCAACCCGTTTATTAAATGGATCATATATGGGTTTCTCAAAAAATAAACAGGTTGACCCGCCAACCCGTTTATATTTTTAATATAAATTATATTTTTTATTTTTAAATGTATTTATGTATCAAGTATCAATATGTAATAAGTATTATCTATGTTTGTATTAATGTTTAGTTTGAACATGTTTCTATGAATGTTTTTAATTTTCATTTGGATGTTTAAGATTTAGTATAGGGAAATGAATTAACCATGTATTATATATCAATCAGTTATATCAATCAATTTGGTCACATGATCATCCAATCATTTGCATGGGTTTCTAGAGACGTAAGAGAATGAAGGAAATATTGGTTGAATTATTGAAAGGGTGTTGCTATTAACACTCCCTTTAGATATCGTATTAGGATATTTATAAAAAATTAATCAATAATTAACTATTTATAATCAGTTTTTTCGAAAAACAATACAATTTCAACCAATAAAAATATTTCAAAAATTAATTAGAATGTCTATATCGCAAATTAAGATGTTTTTTTAGCCAACATCTATAATCAAAATTTGATCAAATCAACTTAACTTTTATATTATTATTTTTTAATATTTGGATTTGAGCTAATGATTCTATTATTATTTGTTGTGAATGTGAACTACGCTAATACTTTATAAAGAAAAGCTTTGTCGATTCAATAATAGAGTTTGTTATAAGAAAGTTTTTAAGTTTTATCCTTATTTTTTGGTTTTTTATATACCCATGATAAATCGTCACATAGAAAATCTAATTTTATATAGAAATATAATAATGTAAAAAGTCATCGTTGATGCTCCCACAGCCACACATTGTTACAAGTTCAACGCGGCGGTCTAGACTCTAGAAGTCAAGTCAATCATGTTTTTAGCTTTTTTTTTTTTTTTTTTTTTCTTTTTCTTTTATATTAAGCAAAGAAATATTAAATAAAGCTAAGTATAGTTTTAATTTTATTAATTACATACTAAATACATAATACATGTATTTATATTTTTCAAATCGTATCTGTGTCCCCTAAAGATACAATATCCTTACGTTTAAGGTTATATTCAATAATAAAATCTCTTAAAAACTTTTCTTTTCAATATATGGTGATAATGGAGGGTTCGGTTTGGGCAATATTGCAAGCCTTGGGAATGGTCCTTGGGCCAAGATTATTGCTTATATTAATCAGCTTAAAGAAAATGACTTTATTCAATTAGAGAATTTTTCTTTCTTTGGGTTGGTAACAGACATAGAAAATGTACTTTTAATTGGAATTGTTGGATGCATTTCTCTTTAAATAATTTGTAATATTTTTTTCTTGTTTTCTAGCTTTTTGCAAGAGTTCCCTTTCTATTATATGATTGGTTGTTTCTAAAAAATATATATATTGGTGATGTTGGTTTATGATAATTTAAGTAGATTGCTTTTTATTTTTCCACAGAAAAAAATTTGTTAGGCTATCAAATGCTGAATTATGTTGAAAATTGAGAGACTATATAGATTACTTTTGTCAAAATTTTCTAAACTAAATTAACCAATATTGATCAATTTGAGAAAGTAGCATTGAAGAAAATATCCATTTCGTCTGTGTATTAATGATCTACGACAAAACATAAGCATATACATACGTATTTATCATTTAATTTTCTAAGTTTCTACAAGATAGGCAAATTACTAGAGTTGCAAGGATTTTGAGCTTCATAGGTTGATAATTACATGACTCTATTTCATACAAATCTAATTACTTACTAGAAAAAAATACATATCAACTACATAACTGTATAAGGTGAATATTGTGAAATTTATCTTTTGGAATGTAAAGGACAAAATATCCATATAACCTCATTCAAACAATTTCTTCAATCTTATACATACATCACTATATCCAAACAAACACATATCATAACTCAATTCAATCACTCTATCATACCATAAAGAACTTAACAAGAAAAACAAAAAAAACATCTCCATGCTTCACGCTCAACCACAATCACAATCACAATCACAAACTTACATATAAACTGTTAAAGACAATTTATTATAACTTGAGCCACTCTAAGCAAGGGCACAACCCCCAACAAAACCTAGAAGGATAATAATCCTTAAGATACACCTCACGACTAAACCCAACAACATAAAAACTAAAAGCCTGACCACGATGTACCATGGTGACACGTGTAACAGGGATGACAGAAATTGTATGCCTCTCACATATAACTCTCGCAGTCACAGGTATGACAGGTCTTTCAGATATGACCTCTGAAGAAAACTGATTCAAAAAGAAGGAATCAGCAAAAAAAGCCGGTGTACAATTGTACGCCTGCGTGTTACACAATTGCACCCCCTTCGCTCTGTGGAACACGTCATCAGGAACCGAGGCGGCCCCACTTGTCGCATTCAGCTTACGTGTCGCGTGTGTGTCCCTACAAAACATTAATTAAAAAAAAAAAAAAAAGTTAAATTCAATTATCACTAAAACTTCAAATATTTGTTTAATATATTAATATTATTGTAACATACCATTTAACAAGCGCTATTTTGCGTGTCAAAAGCGAGCCACTTCCTGAACATGTCGTGCATTTGATTAAGCCACGAGATCCACAACTTGCACATGGTAGCTTTCCTTTCCCATTACATTTCACACATCTGAATACAAAATATGTTTCAGTTATGTGTAAAAAGGTAAGTATTTTGCTATTTTATTATGGCTTACATTGTGTCAGATCCATCTCTATGAGCAATTAAACCCCTTCCATAACAGGCACCACACTGAGTCATCTGATTTTCTTTATAAACTCCTGGTTCTTGATCTGCATTGCATTTACCACAAATAGTATCTCCTCTTCCTTCACAATCTGTCATCCAACCAAGATTGGATAAAAAGGTAAGAAACCCAAAACTAAAAACATATAAATTTGATGGGTTATTTATTACCTGAGCATTTGATGATGGATTCTGAATGGGGGATTTGGGCACGGGATTCTTTGTGGTGAGTGAATAGAACTGGGAATTCTGACCTTAAATCCAGTTCCCAAACACCAAGTTCAGGGGCTTTATCTTTTCCATCAATGTTGCTGTTTCCATGATATGGTTCTGTTTCAGTGATGACTTCTCTTTCTTCCACAAAAGTTTCAAGGGTTCCAACATAGACATTGCAGTCTTCTACAGAATGGATCTTCCATGTTCGAGCAGGCCTGCTTCCCCAACAGCATCGGTGGCCAACATGCTCAATCAGTAACTCGCGTATCTCAACTTCATCCAAGATTTGTCTGTATACATATAATCTCATAGAATTATGTTTAAAGTTATGTGAATTAAGGATCAAATTGTATCACAGAAGCAAACAGAGTAGACTGTATACCTATGAGCTTGATGCTCAGTTTGACCATATTGCCCTCCATAGCCACCCTGGTATGGAAACGGTTGCTCTGCAACAAAACTGGATAATTTTAGATATATTAAATGTTTAATATATCTGAAAAGTTCATAGAAAGTGAACGATGGGTTCCATAAAAGATGATAGAAGAAAAAGTTGGAGTGACATCATAAAAAGAAGTTGAGAAACACTTTTTTAGGTGGAGGATTTATCTCTTAAAAGAGTTTATTTGTGTTCTTTTTGGAAGGATTTAGCTCTTTTTACTGTTGGGTTCCATTTTAGACCCAATCTACATAAATCGTTTTTCTAAATATATAAAGTTAGGTTATAAAAAAGGGCATCTCTAACTCAGATAGGAAATTACAGCAATATTCAGCTAAAAATGATGACACACAAGTTCCTACGATCATCATATAAGGCAGACACGTATCTGCTTTGACAATCTAAGATAATCATTGAAGTTGAAACACATACATGATGTAAACTGGATAAAATTCTAAGGCATTTGAGATATATTGTACCGGGAATATAGGGGGGAGGCTCCGGAGAACTCATCAAGGGGGCATGTAGAGAAGTAGGGTAACGATCAGAACCGGTAGCAGCCGATCGAATTTCGTCAACACTAACATCAGAAGCAGTCGGGATCGTCGACCCTGTTCGTCCCACCGATGGATAAGAATGCCATTTCTCGTTTTCTTTACCCTCAATTTCACCTTTTTCTGCAAACAAACAAGGGATTCGATAATTATAGAATCGGAAAAAGAGTAGACGGAATTAAACTTAATATTGGAGCAGTAATTGAAGAGAGAAATTCCACCACTGAGCAGTGGTTGCTCCATTCTTGTATGAACGATGGGGGGGAAACAGGCACCGGTAACCGATTACTTCTACGGTGGGTTTGTAAAGATGGAGAAGAGGGTTTATAAGCAACAAAATTCCTTAGACGGGAAGGAAGACGAGGGAGTCAATCTCATCTTTCTGGAATTGGAGAAAGATTAATCGGGAGCTAATCTTAAAAATAAAAAATAAACAATGAAAAATGAAAAATAAAAAAAATAAAAAAATAAAATTGACCAAATGATAGCTATTAGACCCAGGTTTTGATCCTGATCCGATCCAAACCTTTAACAATTATACGGGTTTAGAGCATAATTTTTTATCCGTATACTCGTTAACAACCCATACCCATTAACCTTTTATTAAAAGGGTCGGGTATGGATCATTACTGATCCGCTCCATTTATAATGTCCCATTTGAATTTTAGAATTCTACATTTATATTTTATATTGCCTAAAGTTTAATTTAAATTCCAATCGAAAGTTCAAAGAGATCAGACCAAAAACTAAACATTTTTTACATAGAACTCTAGGATTTAACTTCTAATCTTTAGTTTTTTCCTAAAAATCATGATATCATTTCATTTATATTTCTTCATGTAATCACAAATTTCATTTAAAAATCAATAAATTCATTTATCAATCGGAATAAAGTTTGCAATTGATATTTTCTATCAATTCAATCGATGGTCAAAAACCAATCGGAAGTAACTACGATAATGATTTTAATTCGATTCGAAAGTCTTCGAGTACCTAATGTGTTTTCTAAATAAACATTTATTTATTTAATAAATGTGGTTTTATGATTTAAGTAAAATTTGTTTGATTACTCAAAAAACCTACGGGTTACAGGGCGGGTTTGGATATATGTTGATTCGGTGGATAAGGGTATGAGTTTGATTATTCAAAACCCTGCGTGTTACGGAGCGTGTTTGGATAAGATTTTGGAATTTATTTAAAGGGTTTGGATTAAGGTCGATTCGCTCCAAACTCGCCCAATTGCCAGGTCTAGTAGCTATTGTTTTGGTAAAATTAAGTGATCTGACTCAATAGTATTTTAAAGATAATAACTATTTAAAAAAGAACGACTACAAGGTCCAAAACAGGTCATTTCGGACCTGTTTGTAGGAAAATGGTCATTGATATAAGATCCAACCCAATCCAGTTTGTAGCCCCCTGTAAATTCTATTTCATAGTTCAATTTTGAGTTCACTTATCTACTTATAGAGCTTGAACATTTAAGTGGGTGGAGGGGGAAATAATATCTACAAAATTTGCAGAACAAGGGGAGCCATAGTAAAAAAATAATAAATTTAGGCCTAATATGTAAAATTTAATGGACTGGTTCTAAAAGAAACAGGGGAAGATGATGGGGGACAGCCGCTACAACCATGACCGATTCTACCATTTGCAAAACTAAGCAAGGGATTAGGGCCCTCAATTTTAAATTTTATTGTGTTATATATGTATATATACGTATTTCTTGGGATACAAAGACAAGTTGAAGTTTGGTATGGTGGTAAAAAAATTTGTTTATAAAAATAAAGGTCTCAAGTTCGAAACTATTTGCTTACTTGAAGGTTCCGAATTTTTTTGTGTGTTTAGAGCCTCTAAATTGGTTGAACCGCCCCTGGCTAAAACCTACATTTTGAACTCAATAAATTACAAATTTCTTCTTCTAGCGGTAAAGAGATTCATTTTTATATGTAAGGTTATAATTATATGTCTATGTTAACACCTATATAATCTATGTAATTATATAGGTTTTATTTGTTTTTCTATGATTTTTAGTAGTTCAAAGATAATTATTTGATTACATTACTATATTTTATACTATATTATAAAACATATTAGTTATATTTTGAAATTTAAGAGGTATAAGTTATAAAACTTTTTATACAAATCAATTATGCATAAATAAATCATTAATACTTGTCAAAAGTTTGAAAACTTAAATTAAAAAGGTTATTAATAAATTCAATTTAGAACAAAATAAAAAATTTTAAATATTAAATTTATTTATATAAATTAATATATATTTTTAACTGTAGACCAATATTAATTAATTTACATCAATACTATAAGTAGTCAATATAAATATAATGTATAAACATAAATATTTTATATCTAAGTGGTAAATTTTTATTATTTAATAACTAATAATAAAATCTAATAATTACTTTCCGGTAAGAAACTATTCACTATAAGTGTTATTTATCGTCGTCGCTTTGCGTGGGCAGAAAGACGAAAGCCTTAAGGAACAAGTTTGTTGAGTTGGTAAAAGTACAGTGGCAACACCCCAAGGGTTCTGAGTGGACATGGGAACCTGAGGATGAGATGAGGAGGGCATTACCCAAAGTTATTTGCAACAACAGACCTTGAGGATGAAGTTTGATTCAAGTGGTGGAGAATTATAGCATCTGAAACCTTGAGGTACTTCAATTCTTGAATAATTGAATTTCTAAGGGAGCTCACGACGTGAGTCATAGTGGTCATGATGTGAGAGTGACCATTGGCTATTTGACCTATATTTTCAAACCACACAACGAGATCCATAAGGTCTCACTACGCCATCCATATCTGATGACCTAAAAGCTAAAACCCTAATTTTCGAGTATTTAAAGGAATGAGAGGGCTTGGGCTGCCCATCCTCAGCCCCTCTCACTCTCTAGCTCCCTAAAACCCCTAAATTCGTCCTCCTTAAGACATTTGGCCATTGTTGGTGATCTTGAAGAGCTTACTTGGAGCTTTTAGGTTCTTTGAAGTGGAAGAAGGCTCTTGTGGTGTTTCATTTTGGCAATCTAGCTTTTACCTCTTGGATTTGTTGAGCTTTTGAGCATCTGTAAGTCATAAACCTCTTATCTTTTTGCCTTAAGCATGCTAGATCTAAGCTTTGGAAACTTTCTTTGCATGGTTGGGTTGTTTAAAATGCATGAAATCTATAAAGTTGGCAACTTTATGGATCATTTAAACATCTTCTATATGTGAGCCCTTGGATCTAAGTTTTGGTGTGGGTTTTGGAATCCAAGCTTGAGTCTTGATCCTAATACCTTTCTTTTGACATAGTTAATGTCTAAGTCATGCATTGGACATACACGACTGAAAAGATACAATTTTATGGTCCTTAGGGTCACAGAAGGTGTTCTGGAAAGTCTCAATGTATGTCTTAAAGGATTAAGAGTTTAATGTTGAAAGTTGGTCAGAATTGTTCTCACGACTTGAGAAATAGAATCTCATGACATAAGCAAGGTGGTTGTCCCGATCTGAGGATCCTGTTGAATGAGTGAAATTGAGTTGACTCATTGAGTGGGTCCGGGTCGAGTCTATCCTCACAACGTGAGCCTTATTGGTCCCGATGTGAGAGTGAACTAAGGGGAAAGTTGACCTTTGAACCTAAAAATTGACTTTTGATCAGAGTTGACTTTTGTTCAACTCTTGGTTTAGGAGGGTAGACTTAAGGTTTGCCTTCAATGGTTATCGAGGGTGGAGTAGCACCGGTGTAGCTGATCATGTGAGTAACAGTAGTCGATTATCGATCGAGAGGTGAGTTTCCTTCACTATATTTGTGGGTCGAAGGCACCAATGTCGGCCCACTAAGTTATGTTTGTAGTATGATGATTGTCTTCGTGACAATTGTTTTTTATGCTTGTAACTGTTTGATGTCTTTATGATTCTTTTGTTATGAGATTATGTGGTAGAGGTAGGGGTGAAATAGACCCGATATCTGGTTGAAATAAACCGAGGGGGATTGCAAGCACCCATATATGCTTGACTGTCTCCGGTTGAAATAGACCCAAGGGGACTGCAAGCACCCAGATATGTATGACTATATCCAGTTGAAATAGACCGAAGGGGACTACAAGCACCCAGATATACTTGATCGTATGATTGTATAGTATGGGATATTTTAGGGGAACTCACTAAGCTTTGTACTTACGGTTTTCAGTTTATATTTCAGGTACTTCCAGTTCAAAGAGGAAGGGTCCGACTTAATCACCACATCACCCTATGATTTCTATATTTTGAGATTTTGTGATATTGTACTATGATAATGTGTTTTTATGATACACTTTTGATTGTTATGATATGGGTATCCTATGTTTGAATTAATTTAAAAACAATTTTTTTATCTATATCTTTGGGATGTTATAGAAAAAGAGAAAGGCTCCTTCCTAATCTGGCAGGAAATGGAAGGCATATGCTGGAGGGTCTAGCAGTGGGTCAAAGTTGAAGCCCAAATTTGATGTGCCTAGCGTCAGTGATCTAAAGGATGCTACTTGCTTCCATTTTGGTGAAAAGGTCATTGGAGAAGAAGATGCCCTAAGTACCTATAGGAAGGATAGTAAGATCAAGGCATCCTCTTCAGGGATTTACACTATTCAAGTTCATAACACACAACTTTCTGATTCATGGGTCCTTGACATAAGATGTGGTTTCCACATTTTTCTGATTTTTAGGGGCTAAGTGAAAGTGAGGAGGTGGAGCATGGGAAGCTCAATCTGATCATGGGGAATAGGCGATCTTCACATGTTACCAAGATTGGAACATATGAGCTTATGCTTAGTAGTAGTGTGTCACACCCCAAACCGGAATGGCGGAAACGTTCAGGGGCGACGGATGTCATATACAATATCACAACAATTTTATAATATGAATAAAAGCAAACACAACCATTACATTTAATAAGTAAAGTTTTTACATTCGTTCGATACATATTTTGTATGACATCAAAACGTATAACAAAAGTATAAGAGACGCGACTCTAAAAGCTATGTCTTCTCAAAACCCTGCGGGCGTACCTGTCTACCAGTTGCCTGAGAATACAAGTGGTTTTGAAAGTGTATCAACATTTAAGTTGGTAAGTTCATAAGTATGTTTTTAAGATTGAAAGCTTGTCTTTGTTTCATTGAAAATGTTATAGTGTACTTCTAGAAAATCCAATATTTTCTTTAGTGAATGTAATGAAGTCTTAGGCCTTAAGACCAAAATGTGTGTAGTTAATGTATTATGTAGTAGTAAATTGTAGTCTTATAAATAAAACTATTTCATGTATGTTCCTTGTAATTGTATGTCGTATTAGTGTACTCAGTACTAGAAAATAGTGTACTGTAACTATATTTGTATGAAAACCTTTGTATGCATGCC